CCACCCCCTTTGAATTTATTTTTGCATCCCCTGATTTTTGTTTTTAAACGTCACTCACCAGACCAACTTGTCCATAATTGTCAATTAACAATTCAACACTTCTTTTATTTTACTATTAATTTTGTATTTTAATTAATCCTTCTACAATTTTAATTGACCCGTATAAAAGACTTCAACTCTCTTTTGCCTAGGCTATGGCTGGTATTTTTTGTCCAAAAATCGAAAATCGAACCGAACCGAACCGATAAGAAATAAACCAAACCTAACCGACTTATGTGTAAGGGTAACCAAAAACTAGTTACCAAAATGTTATCAGTTCGTGTCGGTTCTGAACACATTATGTCATGTCTTTTGCCCCCTCTTAACTAATTTTCTGGTTTTGCCCTGATTGGTTCCAATAAGTAAACATTCTTAAAGTGAGAATGTGAGAGTCAATCATAACCACTAGATTGGTACAAGATATGTGACCAAAAATCAACTATTCATTTAAATAATAATTTTTTATTATTATTATTTAATTATTTTAATTATTTAAATATTATTTTGACAATTAACCGTCGACTTCGGCGTTGACCGTTGACTTTCGGTGTTGACTCTGGCATTGACCGTTGACCCCTAGTATGCATTATGTATGTAGTAAATATGCATCAAGTACTACGCACTTAATATGAACTAAACAGTAATGTTCACCTACCCACGGTGGGCACATGTTTAATATGCCCACCGCTTATGTGGCATGCACTCATTGGTGATACTTTTTTTTGAACATATTAACATCACCAATATCTGCATGCCACATAAGCCGTGGGCATATTAACATGTGCCCACCGTGGGTAGGGGAGCATTATCCATGAACTAAATATGCATAAGATATGAATCATATATGTAACCTTTATTAAGTAAATATGCACCAATAATATCAACTATGTATGCACTGTTATGTATACTAAATATGCACCTTTTACTAACTAAATATGCATCATGAATGAACTAAATATGTAGCGAAAATATGCAATAAAATATACATTTTATATAATTAAATTAAATACAATAATTAATGATTTTTATTATATAATTATTTTTTTTTTAAAACCATTAATATAAGTTTTTGATCTACACAAATAAATTGTTATAATTGGATCTCACATGAACTAAATATGCATTTCGTAAGAACCAAATATGTATCATGAATTAACTAAATATGCATCATAAATTAACTATATACACATCATTATATATTTAATTTAAATATAACAAATATGCATTTCGTATTAACTAAATATGCATCATTATAGATTTAATTCAAATATAGCAAATATGCATTCCGTATAAACTAAATATGCATTTCGTATGAATTAAATATGCATCATGAATTAAATAAATATGCATTATTATATATTTATTACAAAATATAACAAATATGCATTTTGTATTAACTAAATATTTATTTGTGTAAATCAATGACTTATATTAATCAATTTAAATTTGAATTACTTATGCAATAAAAATCATTAAATTAATATATTTAAATTAAATATATCAAATGCACATTTTATCGCATATTTTCGCTGTTTATTTAGTTCATAACGGATGCATATTTAGTTCATAATAGGTGCATACTTAGTTGATATTATTGATGCATA